TCTGACCATGACGCTGAGGATAGTTTGTACAGGAAGATGTATGATAATCATAGGCGTCGCCAGAGATTGTCGGTTGGGGGGGCAAAATCAACTTTTGTGTCAAAACTTGCCTTTCCCCAGTCTTTACTCACTCGTTTTACATATCATTCGACGCGCAATGGTGCGAGGAATCCGATGGTGACAAAAGTTTCCTTCTAGCTATGACATGTAATTTTTTACAGAAAAATTCGAAATTTTGAAATTTCATAACAAAACGACTGGTAGAATTATAGTGGCTGCGATTGCCGACGCACTGCAGAGGGCCCCTGTGCAGACGCTCGACGCTCATGATCATTACCCATTAAGAGGTGAAAAACGCTCCATTTAATCGGATCACCCTGCTAGAACCTCCGTTCACGCATGCATGCAGAGGTTTTACGTGAAATGCATAGGACTTATCCCAGCCGCCGATCGTAGCTAAGTTGGGCATTCGGCGGAGAGTGAATGTCGGAAGTGTGAGTCGGAATTCGGAAGTAATTCATCTTTGCTTCAGTGACATTAAGTGTTTTGTTCACTCGAGTGTGAACAAAAGTTTCTCGTTTTTCGTGTGAAGGGAAGCGCTGCAAACGCGAACAAAAACTGTTAAACGGAACCAAAAGTAACGCACGGCATAGCGGCAAGGGATCCCGTAGAGATAGGTTTGTGACTTCCAGGCCATTTCAGGCCACTCAGGGTCAGTACTGACTCTCAGAAGCCTGCTTAGGATCCCGGAGATCGACGTGGGTCACCTCAAATATTTACGTGTACGTGGTGCTTTAGGGCTTTTCGAGCCCAAGGTGGGACCCTCAGAAGCAGTGTGGGCGGCGGGCGCTAAGAGACTAGGCCCAGGGTGAGCCTGGAGCCCTCGGATAGCAGTGTGAACCCTCGGGGTCTGTGTCGAATCCCTAAGGACCCTACGTAGGGACATAATAAACATGTGTTGCGGACCTCAGAGGGACACGTGGGCTGTGACCCCTCAGATGCCGGCTTGGGGTTGGCAAAGTCTGTCGCCTCAAAAATTTGGCTGAAAAATCAGAGGCCAGTTAAGGTTCTCAGAAATGTTCGAAGGCTCAAAGATCCCTGTATGGGCCCTCAGAGAACATGAACACCAGTGGGACTTTCAGAGGCCGGTTTGGGCCCTCTGAAAGCTTCTTTAGGGCTCACTGGAGCTCCTTAGGAGCCTTTGTTTAAAGCAAGCTCATGAGCCCTGCGACACTTGTACGGTAGGTACTTGAGCCTGTCGCAGACATTTGACGAGTTGAGAAAGGCCCCGAAGATTTCGTTTCACGCTTTGAACAAAAATTGTGTCAGCACTCCAAAACTTATGAAAATCAGCTGTAAAATGTAATAAAGAACGAACTAGGAACATGTAATGAATCACAGCATTAACATTTCCGAGTCTGGACTCGGAGTCTTGAAGATTTTGGCGACTGCGAGTCAGACTCTGGTTTGAACTGCACGCTCAAACCGAGTCTGACCTCACAGGCATTCTCAGAAAGGTACCCCCATTTTTTCCCGACTCCAAAATCTCATCAGATCTGTATCGATGTCAGGGGGTGCCCGGTCAGAGGTTGGGGGGGGGGGCAAGTTGCCCCGCTTGCCCCCCCCCGTGGCGACGCTAATGATGATAATGACTTCAAGGATTTGTCTGACGATCGTGAATGCTTCTCTGTGGAAGCTCACACTGATGGCTCAGAGGTGGCCGAGTGGGCGCACGTGCCATCCAATTTGAACCCTGCCGATGTAGGTTCTCGTGGCTGTTATCCTTCAGGCCTGGGACCGTGGCTGAGGGGACCTGAGTTTTTCGATGGTGATGCTGGTGACTGGCCCTCAGACCCAGCTGTTCACGCTGAGATCCCTCCGATTGAGGTGAAGTCCGCTCCAGTAACAGTGGCTCTGGTGTCTGCCGGCACCGGACAGAAGGGTCCAACGGACGCTCTAACCAGTCATTTTTCGTCCTTTGACAGACTCAAACGGGCGGTGGCATGGTATCGGAGGTTCTTCTGTGTCATCCGGAATGGTTCATTTCGCAGGTGGTGCATGACCTGCCGAAGGGGGCTTCGGCGGCGTGACCACGTTGGCGAGACCTCTCTGGTTGTGTCCGACCTGCATGAGGCGGAGCGTGCGATCTTGCGGCACGTCCAGCGGGAACTCCCCGAATTTCCCGGTAGAGACTGTGACGATGGTCCAACTGAAGTGAGTTCGAGTAGTCCTCTGAGAAAGTTACGGCCGACCATGCAGAGTTGTCTGCTGGTGGTTGGTGGTAGGCTGTCTCGCTCCGATTGTGTCTGAGAGTGAGAAACACCCAGTGATTCTCCCCCGGGATAGTCACGTGACACGATTGGTGATCAGAGAGGCTCACCAGAGAGTTGGTCACGGGGGGAGAGACCACACTTTGGGAGCTGAGACGGAAGTTTTGGGTCATTGGAGCGGGAACAGAGGTCCGGAGGTTGATCCGATCTTGTGTGGTGTGTAGACGGGTAAATGCCCGTCCCCAGCATCAAATGATGGCTGAGCTGCCTCGGGAGCGCGTCTCGGCAGACGCGCCGGCGTTCTCGTCGGTGATGCTGGATGTCTCTGGGCCAGTGTTGGTCAAGACTGGCCGGATTGAGCGAAAACGTCTACGTCTAGTTATTTACGAAAACGTAAATAACTTCCAAACCACTTGACCTATCGACGCCAAACTTGCAGTACCTTCAGCTGCATCAATTTGACACATTGTGTCAAAATTTGAACTTCGTAGCTACCATAGGTCGGCCGGAAATGACGTCAGAGTGACGTCATGTTCGGCTGATTTCGACGCAAAACATTGAACTACGGCAATCGCTCCCAAGAGCTCAGTTTTTAAGCTAGATCCAATTTCTTTGCATGAAAGGACTCAAAATTGACTGCGCTATCAAACTGCTATCTCGGATTTTCAAAATTTTGAAAATTTCGGAAATTTTATATAATAATATTCAAAATTTATATTTTTATATTTTCAAAAAGTTTTTGACTTTTCGAAAAAAACGGAATACATGTGACAAAACGCATCTTCATGACTAACTCAAGCAAGTTTTTGCTAAATATCTTCAAAAATGGCCAAGTTAAACGCATTATTGCAAAAAATTCACAATTATTAATTTTTCAAATCTTTTTTTTTTCAGTACGTATTTGACATCGTACACCAATATAAATAGCACCATCGTGTTGCTGAGCTCAAACTGCATCCAAAAGACACAATTTTCGTTGAAAAATTTTAACTTGAAAATTTGACCTTTTTTGACCTGAAAGTGACCTGACCTAAGCTAAATTCGACTCAAAATGACCTTGAATGACACAGACGACATCAAATTCGAAATCTATGGCCTAAATGGGCCATAAAACATGTGTCACGTGACCGACGCATGATATAATATTTCCGTGACCTGTGATGACCTGACCCTGACCTGAAAATCAAAGCACAAGTTTTAAACCCTCAAGGCATCTAGAGCATCTGTTCACGAGTGTGGAAGCCAAAAATGAGCCTAATCTGACTAGTAAGACGGCGGCCAGAGCCCAAAATGTGAACAAGCCAAAATGCTAATAATTTTTACTTTGACCTGACCTGTGACGTGATCGGTGACCTCGAGGTCAATGAAATTGCGTTTCGCTCGACAGTTTTTCCGGGGCTATCAGACGACGTTTGAATTTTGACGATCAGCCCAGTAGTTTCGGAGTTAGGGGGCTATGGAGAGCCCCCCCCCCCTAGGGCGTGTTATACGCAGACCCCAGTGGGGCGCGGGTTAATAATTATATAACCCGCGCCCCGTAGGGGGGGGCGAAACGGCCCCCCTGTCCTTTTCGGTCGATATCTCGTAAACGGCTGGAGATATCGCCACCAAACTTTCAGGACCCCTCTGGGCATCAATTTTACACATTGTGACCAAAAATTGTTCCAGAGGCTACGATAGGTTGGCAACAAATGACTTCAGAATGACGTCATGTTCTGTCATTTTCGACCGAAAAAAGATCTTCGCGAGAAGACCTGTCAGGCCTCAAGCTTTGAAGATACAGAAAAATGATCAAGACATAAAAGGTGTAGAATTGACAGGGCTACAAAACTGCCATCTCGGATTTTTTTTTAATTTTTGAGTTTTGACCCCCAAAAATCAAAAAAGTATTTTGTTTTATATATTAGCCAAAAAATCCAAAAAGTTTTTTTTTTGAGTTTCGAAAAAACCGGAATATATGTGATAGTACCTTCTATCTACTGTCTTCTATCTACATACCAAATTTCAGATCGATACCTCCTTTTTTGGCCAAGTTATAGCGAAAAAAACTGTTTAAAAATGATGACGTCAAATTTTCAAACTCATTTTTTTTTGGCAATTCCAGACCTCGTAGAGTAAAACAAAGACCACCATTAGACTCCCCGTGACGAGTTGCATCGAATCCATACCCATTTTATGCAAAAATATCAACTTTGAAATTTGACCTAATTTGACCTAACCTTGACCTTGACCTTCACCAAAACGTGACCTAGGCTGGCCCCAAAGGCTGCCTAACCCACATAATCGCATTTGTCAGGTAAAATGGACCATAAAACATGTATCACACGACTTAACCCGCTAGTGCATGAGACACTAGCGCCTCTACAGCGAGGCTCAAGAGTTAAAAGTTGAGCTAATTCACCACCAGGTAGCACTAAAGGAATCTGAGTACGGAGCTTACAATACTAGCGCCTCTATTGCGAGCATTTCACAGCTGTAGTTGCTCAAAATGTCGCAAGGTAGCAGTAGGTGCTTTGCAAATTATGGGAGTCATTTCAGTTTTTTATCAATTATTGTTTAAACATTTTTGTTCATAACTCTACGAAGTAAGAACCTAACAAATGTAGGTCATTTTTGGATGTTTTTTGGCCATGCTTTTGAGTTAAAGAACTCTTGAAAGGCAGACGGGTAAATAAAAAGTTGCGGCGATTGAGACGCGGAGTTTAGCGATGGTGTGGGTGGGTATATTCTGGGTATATTATAATAGATTATCATAATAGACTTCATTTCTTTTGAAATGGTTCGTCTGAATCAGTCTGGATCATCCTGACGAAGTCATGATAATGGTTTGCTTTCGTGGATTATCGTACTTGGCCGAAAGATTCCTGTTTCGCAGAAAAATATATGCTGCCTTGCGCTACTAATGTCTCTTAAAATTCAATCCCTAGTCCTGAGGCCAGTTTGCGTGTTACAACAGCCAGACCTTTCACCATGTGCGTTGTGGATTTTATGTATTGCCAATTCTGGGAGTCAGAGACTCAGAACAATCAACAGCTGGAACGGCCTGCCTCCCTCTGTTGTACCCGCACCTACTGTCAATGCCTTCAAGTCCCTGACTCTACTCCCACTGGAAAAACATCAATATTCATCAGTCTTCGATTAATAGAAACAGCAAGTTTAAAGTAATGATCCGGTCCAATAGGCCTGCCACTTGGCCTCAAAATTATGTGTACTTCTAAGGTAAGGTAAGGTAATAATGGTGCATATTAACTGCTTGAACTTTTTTCTCATTGTTTAGTAGAGTAGACACCTTGGTAACGGTAGCGCTGGCTTACACCTTCTCCGCCGGCGCCAAGGTTGAAACTAATCAAGGTCACGTTTATTGATGTCCGTGAAGTTAGCGTCAGCAACAGCAACGAATACAGCTTCGGATTCAGAATCACTTCAAAAACTCATATCAGGTCAATTGGGGGACGGGGAGCAAGAATATGACCTTTATTTAGCCCTAGCTCATACCCCTTACCCTTTAATTGACCCTTTAAGGAAGGGGCGCGTCAAAAGTGCCTCAAGGGTTCGTCTGATCGCCAAAATAAGGGCGGTAATCGATTTCTCGGGTCAATATCTAGCCGCGGCCTTGGGTTCCAGATGTGTGCATCTTACCCCTTACCCCTTTATCGGCCCTTAAAGGAAGGGGCGCGTCAAAAGTGCCTCAAGGGTTCGTCTGATCGCCAAAATAAGGGCGGCAATCGATTCCTCGGGTGAATATCTAGCCGCAGCCTTGGGTTCCAGATGTGTGCACCCTACCCCTTACCCCTTTATCGGCCCTTAAAGGAAGGGGCGGGTCAAAAGTGTCTCAAGGGTTCGTCTGATCGCCAAAATAAGGGCGGCAATCGGTTTCTCGGGTGAATATCTAGCCGCCGCGTCGGGTTCCAGATGTGTGCATCTTACCCCTTACCCCTTAATCAGCCCTTAAAGGAAGGGGCGCGTCAAAAGTGCCTCAAGCGTTTGTCTGATCGCCAAAATAAGGGTCGCAATCGATTCCTCGGGTCAATATCTATCCGCAGCCTCGGGTTCCAGATGTGTGCATCTTACCCCTTACCCCTTTATCGGCCTTTTTGAACCTGAGGCTGCGGCTAGATATTGAGCCGATGAATCGATTGCGACACTTATTTCGGCGATCAGACGAACCCTTGAGGCACTTTTGACGCGTCCCTTCCTTTAAGGGCCGATTAAGGGGTAAGATGCACACATCTGGAACCCGAGGCTGCGGCTAGATATTGACCCGAGGAACCGATTGCCGCCCTTATTTTGGCGATCAGACGAACTCTTGAGGCACTTTTGACGCGCCCCTTCTTTTAAGGGCCGATTAAGGGGTAAGGGTAAGATGCACACACCTGGATCGCGAGGCTGCGGCTAGATATTGACCCGAGGAATCGATTGCCGCCCTTATTTTGGCGACCAGACGAACCCTTGAGGTACTTTTGACGCGCCCCTTCTTTTAAGGGCCGATTAAGGGGTAAGGGGTAAGATGCACACATCTGGAACCCGAGGCTGCGGCTAGATATTGACCCGATGAATCGATTGCGACACTTATTTCGGTGATCAGACGAACCCTTGAGGCACTTTTGACACGCCCCTTCCCTTAAGGGCCGATTAAGGGGTAAGGGGTAAGATGCACACATCTGGAACCCGAGGCTGCGGATAGATATTGACCCGAGGAATCGATTGCCGCCCTTATTTTGGCGAGCAGACGAACCCTTGAGGTACTTTTGACGCGTCCCTTCTTTTAAGGGCCGATTAAGGGGTAAGGGGTAAGATGCACACATCTGGAACCCGAGGCTGCGGCTAGATATTGACCCGAGGAATCGATTGCCGCCCTTATTTTGGCGATCAGACGAACCCTTGAGGCACTTTTGACACGCCCCTTCCTTTAAGGGCCGATTAAGGGGTAAGGGGTAAGATGCACACATCTGGAACCCGAGGCTGCGGCTAGATATTGACCCTAGGAATCGATTGTCGCCCTTTTTTTGGCGATCAGACGAACCCTTGAGACACTTTTGACACGCCCCTTCCTTTAAGGGCCGATTAAGGGGTAAGGGGTAAGATGCACTCATCTGGAACCTGAGGCTGCGGCTGTATATTGACCCGAGGAATCGATTGCCGCCCTTATTTTGGCGATCATACGAACCCTTGAGGCACTTTTGACGCGCCCCTTCCTTTAAGGGCCGATTAAGGGGTAAGGGGTAAGATACACACATCTGGAACCCGAGGCTGCGGGTAGATATTGACCCGATGAATCGATTGCCGCCCTTTTTTTGGCGATCAGACGAACTCTTGAGGCACTTTTGACGCGCCCCTTCTTTTAAGGGCCGATTAAGGGGTAAGGGGTAAGATGCACACATCTGGAACCCGAGGCTGCGGCTAGATATTGACATTGACCCGAGGAATCGATTACCGCCCTTATTTTGGCGATGAGACGAACCCTTGAGGCACTTTTGACGCGCCCCTTCCTTTAAGGGCCGATTAAAGGGTAAGGGGTAAGAGCTAGGGCTAAACAAAGGTCATATTCTTGCTCCCCGTCCCCCAATTGACCTGATATGAGTTTTTGAAGCGATTCTGAATCCGACGCTGTATTCGTTGCTGTTGCTGACGCTAACTTCACGGACATCAATAAACGTGACCTTGATTAGTTTCAACCTTGGCGCCGGCGGAGAAGGTGTAAGCCAGCGCTACCGTTACCGAGGGTGTGTATCAAATGTACCCAAGTACAGTCGGACCCAAGATCCAACGGGACCCAAGATTCATAAGTACCCAGGTGCCTCAGGCTATACGGAAGTACCATAGCGACGTTGGGTTCCAAGGTTCAAGGATGCCAGAATATGATTGGCTGAGCAGGCAGACCAATCGAACGAGCTGTTAGAAACTACTGTACCTCAGTGCACTCTCTGACAGAGGGTAAGTGCGGTGAAGATTTCGCATACCAAAGTGACCCTTCCGGAGGACCGGCGGCCGGCGCCCACAGTCAGGTAACAATGGGAAGGGTCGGAGAGACGGCCCGCCGCGCCACACGGTGCCGATTCCCGGGACGCTCAAGTGTCGCCTGTCAGACGCGTCGCCTGCCTCCCCCCTCCCGCCCCGCCGAGCCGCACAAAACAGCCGGACCCTGTCGCGGAACGAACCACCCGACCATGCTGTCGTCATCGGCGGCGAACTGAACTGCATGGCTTTCTGAGTCGTGGCGCTGAGCAAGCCTGAATAACCGATCATGCTTGCGTATTTCATGCTTCAGCCCTGCTGTGAGCCATGTTTTATGATTGTGGATCTTAGCAATTTCTTACGTAGAGGTGAACCGTGCAAAACGCCCCCTTAAGAAAGTGTGTCACCGCTAGGCTAGTTATTGGACCATATGCTTATAGGCGTCATCTTTAGACTATTGAACAAAATAATATGTAAAGCGCTGGAATGCTACATTCCAGCATGAATGAGCTTTTGCAAGACCTTTGAAAACGGGGCGTTTTACATTACGGGTATGGTAAAACGCCCCAACTTTGGTTGTCACCTGGTTATGAGTATGAGTTATAGAGTTCCGTTTGTATAGATAATGCATATGATATTCCAGTTTCGGCGGTACTACTCTATTGTTTAGGTAAGCAGAAACGTATTAACCCGCGCGGGGCTGGGGGGGGTAAATTTTACCCCCCCTCGCGAATTTTTGCGATATCTCAAAAACGGCGGCGCGCAGCGCCGCCAATCTTTCAGTACCTTTTCTTACATCAATTTGACACGTTCCCTGAAAATTTGAGCGAAATCCGTCGGAAAATTGTTGAGAAATTGACGTTTTAGTGACGTCATGTTCGTCATTTTCGCCTCAAAAACGGCAAAAGTTCAAACGCCGCTAACATCTTCATTTTTAAAGGAATCAAGACGTAACAAAAAAGGTTATACGTAATTTTTCTTTGTCTATCAAATGGCTATCTCGGTTTTTTGAAAATTTTGGATTTTGGCCTAATTTTTTTTCAAAAAACTGACTTTTTTGGGAAAATCATTATAAAATCCAAAATTTTGAGTCTATCGAAAAAACCGGAATATATGTCAGAGAAGTGGTCTATGTGCACCTACATACCAAATTTTAGAAGAATCGGTTCAAAAATGTGGGAGTTATTAAAAATTTTATGACGTCACGACACACAATTTTTTTGAAAAATGACTTTTTTGGAAGTTATAGACCTCGCACGGAAACAAAAATAGCACCATTCGATTCGCCGTGAAAAACTGCATCAGATAGACACCTTTTTAGGCCTTAACAACCAACTTCAAAATTTGACCTCACTTGACCTGACCTTGACCTGACCTCGACCTGAAATTCATCCAGAGGTGGTCCATATCACTTATTGAGTGTGCCTTTTGAATTGTATGAGTAAAATGACCCATAAAACATGTGTCGCACATGCCCTTTCTATATTTTGTTTTTTAGTGACCTGACCTGACCTGACCTGACCTTGACCTTGACCTCTGAATGATATTGTATGCAACGAATATTGTCTTGGTAGCCTAAGAACACGTTTTGGGCGATCAGTCTCAGTCCATGACTCCATTCTTCGGCAACTACGGTGCAAGGCCGATACTGTAGAAACTTGCAATTTGTACCCTTGACCTGACCTTGACCTTGACCTCAAACCTTAAATTAAGTACATGTTTTTAGTAGTTCGTGATGAGAGCTTTCGATTGGCGTTTGAATTTTCCAAATCGGACCGTTAGTTCGGGAGATAACAGGGGGGGTAAAATTTACCCCCCCCCCCAGCCCCGCGCGTTCGGCTGGAGACCCCAGCCCCGCGCGGGTTAACGTAGTAACGTGTTTTCGGAGAATATGATTGGATGGAGAACCGTTAAAAAAAAACAATACTTCAGCATTTGCAAGCAAAGCTACCTAGCTCAATAAATTCACCCATTGCAAAAAATCACTGTTTTCAATGTCTTCGTTATCTATTTACCCCAATCAGCAACAATGCATCACAATATACCTAGTCGTTTCAGTGGATTGTGATTTGTGGCATTTAAGCAAATAAAATGATCAAGGCTGAAACAGACTTTCCGCAGTCGGGAAATCGCATGCGAGAGCCTATTCAAATACATTACAATCCTTCCCGCATCAAGCGCATGCGGGAAGTGCGTACGATTGATGCGAGCGTGATTTAATATATTTGAATAGGCTCTCGCATGCGATTTCCTGACTGCGGAAAAAGTC